TCCGCGGTGACGTAATCGACCTGCTGAAACTTATTGCTTGCGTCATTTTGGAGTACGCAAGGCAGTTATCTCGTTGGTCTGGTTTCGGTTATAAAAGCAAGGCAAAACGCTCGTAGTTCCCGCCCTCAGTACACGTTGGACATCTTCCACACTTTGACACTGGATAACTGGATGAACGAGGATTTACATTTACTTCAGAGGTCACACTCGCCGCTTCCTCACCGTCGAGCAGCAGGATCAGCTGGCGACAAGCCGCGTATGAAAGGCTCGAGCATCAACAGCCCAAGTGCACTCGGTGCCGATGCGGGCGATGCGGGTTTCTGTCAACCGCTAGCCCAGCACAGACCTTGACCGTTCCAGCTCTTCGTCATGACGCGATGTTGCAGAAAGCAGCGTATAATACCACTACACGGACCACCGAAACGAACGCACTGTTATCGTAAACCTTGGCTTGTGATTGCGCCTAAATTTGTAAATAATCTTATTCTTTTTTTCTGGAGACGCAAACGAAGGGCATAACAAAATCGTTTGCATATTCCGCATACCTCGCAAAAGCATCAGTCACCTTGCGAGAAGCGCAAAACACGGTGTCCGCACCGTCCTGACTTCCCAGTCTTTTACCTGCTTTAGAGCAGTTTGTACCTGTTAGTAGGTATGTCTACTGAAACTGCCACTTGAAACTTGGGGCAGTGCCAGAGGGAAAAGAGACAAATTCGGGCCTCTTCCCAATGTAAAGAAAAACCACTATGTTCTCTACGTAAAAAATTGGTCTCAGTTCATGCATCTGTGGGCAGGTAGAAAATCTTGCCCTAGTTTATTCACACCGCATGATGAGCGCAACAAACTCACACGAGTCACACGAGATTTACAGGAAAACATCGGTGGTGACTTAAGTTTCCCTGAAATTCTGTATAACCGGTCGTTTGCGGGACCGAATCATCTACTCGAGCGGTGTGCGTCGCTGTGCGAACACGTCGCTGTGCAAATGCAGTCTAACGACGCGAAGCATAGAAACGGCAGATTTAGGGAAACTATCCGAAGTCCCTTGTTCAATTAAAACGACGTAATTTTGTTGAAAACGTCCGCAGCATTTTACTCACGGTATGCGTCGGGAATCTTCCACATTTTGAAACGGAACGAAGGAAGATTTAGTTTTAAGAACGCTCGCTGCGTCCTCCCCGACCAGCTGGACCGGATCAGCTGACGACGACGGCGCTAAACCCGTCAAACGCAACCCCACAACAACCAACATGAGCTCCGCGTTAGTGCGGGTTTCTACCTACAAGCACCGCACCACACACCACGAACGTTTCGGCCCTTTCTCGCATCGCCGTGTTGCCCCAAACAGAACGAGATCGCCGAAGAACGCAGCGCTGTCGTGAACCTTGGCTTGTGGTTGCGCACTCGTGGACCCTGTGACTCCCCTCGCTTTCAAAGCACACACGACGAATGGTACTTTCCGTCTTCCGGGAACATCACAGGGGCACTTCTCCGGTCACGTCTTCACTATGTGCTCGCAAACTGCGAAGCTCTATGCGAAGCTTCTCGCGTCCCGTCAAACCAAAACAATAGCGGCTGCCAGAAATTTCTCCGGTCAAACAAAAAGAACGAAAGCCAACCGGCTCTTGCTTCCACCGTACATCGACGTTGCGCTTGCGCACTTGCGCCATGGCCAGATCGGCCAGATCACAGTGGAATCGGGCCAGATCGCTTGCAGTTGAAGCAGTTGAAGGTTGAAGCAAAAACGAAACTAACTGCAGTGTCACGTGTTCACATCGAAGACACGCTTTTTATATCCATTTTAACTGTTTTGAACGAATAATTGGACCCATGACTTTATTTGTGGTGTGTAAGAAACTATTATCAAGAGCCCTAAACTAAATGCAAACATGGGCGACATGAGGGAAGCCGCATTGCCATCGATCAGAAAATGGCGGCGAGCCACGGTAAGCGCGGGTTTCGCCAACGTCCCGCGACATGGCGTAATTGCTTTTGGTGCTTATCTGTTTCCGAGACATGTTTCTTTCCGCGGCATTTGTCTCGACGGTCCTTTCTAAGTGTGTCCCCAAGCATTCCGGTGCTTCGATAGCCGGCAATGCCGCGGTCGTCGCCGGAGGCGATGCGTGTTATCGAGGTCGGCTACACGGTTATGCGTGTATGACCGAACCAAAACACGTTTTTTACAACCTCGCATGATATCTGAACGTATTATCCGTTACTCATTGTGTAAATTTATGGTAATTTGTGTAAATAGCGTGTTTTTCACCCCAGATATTCACCAAATACACGGCACTTGCTAACAGTGCACCTTTTTTTACAGAAGTCTATATCCGAAAGGTGAAAATTAGCTGAAAAGATTGCTGACTGGGCGAGTTGGTAGGTCAAGAGTCTTGACCTACCAACTCGCCCAGTCAGCAATCTTTTCAGCTAATTTTCACCTTTCGGATATAGACTTCTGTAAAAAGGTGGTGGAAAAAGACTTTCAACTAGGGGCCACTATTGCGCTTTTCTGCACACAACTGAAAACCATTCACGGAAAAATTGTGTGATTATAAAAATCACAGTCAACGACCCTCCCCCTCCCCCCGAAAAAAACAAACCTTTCCTGCTTCACGGCAGTTATACTAGAAAACCCCCGCAAAAAAGAGATGCATAATACGACAGTCTCGCTTGAACAAGCGAACGTATATGTGGATGTTCTTGATCGTGAAAGAATATAAAACGTTAGAAAAGTTGCCTCTGAAACAATTGCGAGTGCCCGCGCCCACCAGGGCAAACACGGCAAAAGAGGTTACCTAGACACATACTGTCTAAACTGGAACACCAAATACACGTTGAAAAGACACGATGACAATTTAGCAGGCTCTAACGCTCCTAATGAAGTACTTGCAAGATACGCTGTTGTGAAGAAAACGCTACACATTGTTTCTCGGACAAAGATGGACAGACCGCGGTGCTTCCAACGCGAAGCACGCCTTCCCAGGGCCGCAGCAACGTTTGACCAGTACTACCTGCTGCTCTAGTTGGCACGCCGAGGTACTTGACAGGAACACAGCTCCAAATAGTACCTTCGAAAGCCAAGGGTGTCGTGGCCCAAAACCCATGCCAAAGGCCGAATCATTTCTTCCAGTTCACAACTGTGGGAGCTGCATCGCAAAAACCTTTACTCAGGTTTAGCGCCTTAGTGAAACATTTTCTTTCTCGCTACAAAACAAAATATCCAAATCATCCGAGGACGCCAGCACTTTAACTCCTGTATCTCCGAACCTCTACCCTTGCAGTGTTTTTAATTTTTTATAGGCTCAAAAAGACGGGCTCTAGACGGCGTAAATAATAAAGGCAACATTGGTCACCCTTTGCATACCAATGAATCAATGGGACTATGACGCGACAATTGTTTGTTTATAATTATCTTGTGGAGTAGTTCGCCAAGGGCAACCTAAAGCCGCCTATTATATATTGTCCTAGCCGAAATAGCGCAGCATGTCGGCCAGTACTGGGCCAACGTCGGCACGTACCGGGAACTGAACGGCGGAAGACGGCCAGTGGTGCCACTGAGCAGCCAGCCCCTGCCGGCGTTGGCACTTCTCGACCTGGATAGTCGGTCTCGCCATGAAAGTTCCGGCTACTGGCCGGCACCGGTTCCTGGCTGCTATTTGTGAACAGTCTCGCTGTTAAAGTACCAGCTCCTGCCGACATTGGTTTCTAGCTGTATTCTCTGACCAGTTTCGCCGTGAAGTTCCAGCTAATTGCCGATATGGTTTTCATTATGCATTTTGAGGCCAGTCTTGCCGCGAATGTTCCAGCTTCTGGCCGACGCCGGTTCCTCGTTGCGATTTGTGGCCAATCTTACAGCCAAGGCTCCGTCTAGTGGCCGACATTGTGTTTAGTGCATTCATTGCAAGTCCAGCCATGAACTTCAGACAACTAAGTGACATCGCTTCGTCGGTGTAGCCACTGGACTAAAAAAATCTACAACAGTTATGGGTAATCGGCAATGTTTGACATTTCCCAAAATTATTCTAAGATGCAATGAACGTTTTATTATTGTTTAACCTAATAAAGCGATACTATTCTTAGACTGTTTTAGAACAGTTTCATTGCATTTACTTAATAATTACAGGGTTGTTTATTTTCAACGCCCACGAGCTGCTCTAGTTTGAGAATGCTCTTCCCATAGCCACCATGTCGTCTTGCTAACCGCGTATTTCCGATTCCTTTGATCTGTATCACTGCACCGTCGGTGCGAACGAAGCCACGATTCGGGGCACTTTCATGCATGGTTAGACCTCCACTAAATAGACGCGAATAGAAGAAAGTGATAAAAATGGCGTGCACAGATGAACTTTTTAATTTTCTCCAATGTCATACAGATGTCAACGAAAAAAAACAAACAAAAAAACCGCCAGATCGCTTCTGCCAAGCGGCATCCACGAACGCGGCAACCCGTAAACTGTACTTCGTTTTTCAATCGGTGCGTACTGCCGATGCAACACGCCAATGCGGCCGGTAAAGCAGCGTCCAAAGCGCAGTTACATGGCTCAAGTCATCTTCCTGCGCTTGTGCGACGAAATGCGCTGTGACCTTGAGCCCGAAAGATCGACGCATGCCTGGTTTAGCGAGCTCGCAACTTCCACCGCTCTGTCGGCTTATAGACGCGCGTTGAACCGAATTTTTCTTCTCTCCCGCGTCAGAGATACCTTTAGTTTTACGGCAGGGCGATAGGTAGACTGTGAGATAGGGTATGGTCCAGAAAAAAAAGGGCGCCGGTCAGCGCGTTACTCCAAAATCTTGACCGAAATATACGACGAAGATGAAAACAACAACACTATTTTAAATGACCTTTATACATAGAAACAAATGCTGCCGTATATGTCGTTTTTAACGTATTTCTTTTGCTGCTCAATCTACAATAGAAAGAGTTATTTTATTTATGTTTTTTCGGGTGCTTAAAATAAGGTGATTGCAATGTTTAATCAAATATTTAAACATATTTTCAGGTTATCCAGAAGCTCCCTCAAACGTACATGCTTCAATCAGTTGAAAATTATTCAGATTTATCTTGTGGTTATCAAGTTTTCTACAGTGGGACTTATGGAAACAAAACTTACTCAAATTATGACCTATTCTTTTTCTACATGGACGGTAGTCTGTGAGTACTTTATTTGTGTTTAACATACAAAAACTATCGTTGATATATTGCAACAAAATAAGAGTTTTAATGTGTTTACTTTGCAGATTTAACCAGCCACTTTATATAAGAAATGTGACTGGGTACATAATTACTCTGAGCATAGAACCAGGTGAGCTGAGGTTTCTTTTGTATTGAATTCGTTTAACCGCAGAAGCGTTGACATAACGAACTACGTCCGAAGTCTTTTTCTAACACGCTGGATATCCACTTATGTGTTCATTTCTTTAGGTCTATTCGCTGAGTTTGTAGGCAATTGGGTAGTGTTCTACTTTTATGTTCACGGTAAATTTGGGAGAACCCTTAAGACTTCGCAACAATTTTGCAATTAGTAATTCAATCCTATTCAAGCAGATTCGATGGTGGTTGACCTTGTTTTTCGTAGGAACTGACGAGCTGTTGATACGTTTTTTAAGCACTGGGCTATTGTTTTAGGAAAAAGTGAATGGGAGTAGTACCGTCGATGTCATAGGAATATAATCCAGTCCGCCGATTGTCGGCTAGTCTATACCTCGCTGGGTTGATAGTTGTGCAACCAATAACATCTTAAGACCGTACCCACGCTCAGGTACTATACCTACCGCGAAAGCATGAGTGCACTTCTAGATAGAAACTCGCAGATAGCCGGTATGCTTCAAATGCAGCAGCAATCAATGCATCGAAGTTATTACGTATGGTATGCTACACGTGTGGTTTGCAAGAAACTTCCCTTCTCAAAAGCTTAGTGTAACTTTTCACTATCTGCATTTTGAACTGGAAATGCGACTAGAATTGTTTGCGGAAAGCCAAAATCCAGGTTTCAGACAGAGGAATCGTTTTTAAAAACTTAAAATCTAGATGGACTTCAGATGAATTTCAAGTTCCATAATCCAGATTGCGAAAAGTTATACTGGGTATTTCGGTAGGATTGCTCTTCTAAAATAATTTACATTGGTCGACTTCTTTGTTTTTGTGACAATCTTTCATTTATTTTTGAGCAGAGTCATGGTTTCCAACGGAATACAAACTTGAGATTGTGTTTTCCGACATGATGTCTTGTATGATAATAAAAACCCCGGACAACTGGTTTCCTCAAGGTGGGTGCGAAAAACTAACTAGTTGGTGGTTCAAAGCATTTACATTACGTAATTGTTTCAAATTTACACTGTATTCTATCAGAAATTGAATAGCGCACAGAAAAATATAGTCTCTTAAGGTACTAATTAACCTTTCAAACTAAAACGACTTTTTACAGCTACAACTTAGTAGTAATGTTAGCTATGATTATGTACACGTATTTGGCTCTGGAATTGTGTCTCTTCCTAAATCAAGGAACACAAGCATCTCGCACTTAAACCAACCCAAGACGCGGTCACGAATGTTATTCTGCGCGGGAAATTCTGTAACTTGAGGAAACAATTAGCTTCTTCTGACATAACTGAAGCTATGGAAGGGATGAAAACAAGCTCACATAAAGAGAAGGGACAACAGAAAAAGTCTACGAGCAGAGTTGAGTTTATTGTAAACAACCCTTTTATAGAGACAGGACACCCCTGTCGACGCCAGAAATCTTTTTACATGCTCACTTCTACTATTTGCTTGAAAGAAAACAATAAAAACAATCTCCCCTAACAATATCAACAAGCTTCAGCCCCAGGACCCAGCAAGTGATATTAAACATACCTTCATTTCCCAACCCCAACCTTCTCGTCGTAACACAGCATACAGAAAGATATGTCACATTTGAAAACACTTCTGCCTACTTTAAAACAATTGAGGGCACACTAACACATTTTCCTTTAGAAGTGATACTAACAGGCAATTTGACGACATGTTACAATTGATTTGATTTTACGCTTAGAATTATCGTAAAGTTCCAACCAAGAAAATTATTGTTGCACTGCGCTAAATGCTTTCCAACCACTGAATTAGGCAACTTTGAAAAAAAAAAAACCTTGTGTTTTTGAAATCTATCGTCCACGCCGCTGTCTGTCTGCCCGATGTACAAAAAAATACATGCTAAATGCATGTCACACACTGCACATCTCCTTCGCTCAATAATAGAATATTTATACCTTTTTCACTTCCTTGGCGATGAATGAAGAAAGGCGTCATCTCTCAAAGGCCAATATCAATTCATTCTTCGCGGTTACATTGTTCAGGTTGTTCCTTAGAAGCTACTTAGAGCGCTGGCAAGAACCCTTTGCTTAATCAAGGGAAGCGTCGTAGAAAATAAAAGGGCTACAGTTGGTTCTGTTTACATTTTTTTATGAAATGTCCTACAATTTGAAAGCGTTATGGGCTCGTTATGATGCAAGATTGTTTTCACACCAACGTTTGTTTAGGAGGTACGCTTTTCTCTGTTACTCAAAGTTTATGCAAAATTATTCAGATTATTCCACTGAGTGTAGGAAAAGTGTTATATATATGACATTCCTTTGCCATGTGCATTTTTGTACGCCGGTCGAACCGGCCGCTGCATGAACGATATGATTATAGAACAGGGCGATTTCGTCAAAGACGCTTAGTAAGAGACTGTACTGTGTTTGGGGAAGTGCAACAACTGGTTTCCGGATGCTGCACGTGGATTGTAAAGAGAAAATGTTATCAGGTTAAAGCTTGACATAGCACTAAATGGATGGAACAGTTCGAGTAGAGAAGTAGCTTGATCATGGCCGAAGTCGCTGCAGGACTGGAGAGTGCACAGCAAGTTTGCTTTCGAGGTGAACTACGGATTTCACCTGTTTCTGTAAAAATGTGAAATGCCACTCACTTAGTGTTTGTACAGTGGCGTATGTATATTCGTACGAAAATGCCAACCGAGCTATAAGCATAGCTCGGTTGGCCGGAAAAATAGCTATTGGGTCCACGGTCCCGCAAGCGGCCTCCCCTGCTCTGGCGTTTTCTTGAGGGCTAAGTCGTAGAGACAGCACACCAATAAAGAAGAAACCGTTTGCATATCCCAAATAAGGTTGGTTCCCTGTGTACATAAATATTCCCTTAGGTGGACAATGCCCTGCGAATAGTGTACAAACACAACACGTCATTTTGTTATGAAATCTCGCGTGCGAAATTAGTTTTCTGCTCGGCTGCGTGCGGATAACATTTTTGACACAGACGCGAATGGTTTGTCACTGATAAGCTCACGGATGTACGCATTTTCTTTGGGTATTGGTGTGTTTATGTGTGCTTATTTGTAAATCCATTATCAAACTGATTTATTAAGTAGCCAAATTGTGAAGCTAAAACCTTCAAGTTTGTCCGTTTCTTTTTCATAAAACCTTCTAAGCCAGCAAAGGAAATACGAGTGCTTCACACACACGCTTAGACGGCATAGATAAAGACTAAATATTGAACATAGAGCAAGCTTTACTTACTGTTAAATTAGTAAAAATTATTTCCCCGAAAAATATGTGGGGGACAGGACAGATGACCTCAAAGGTTTCTGCATTTGAGCACGTTTCCATAAGTACACCAATGATCTGGTGTCGTTTTGTGGTCTCTTAAAGTTTGAGGTTTCGCGGGGAAAACTAGTTTATTGTCATGTTTCGTCAGCACAATATTGAAACACGCATGAGGCGGCAATAGCTTCTCCAGAACCATTCAATGTTATTTTTAACTGATTATTTACAGCCTGTGACCTCATGATGACAAAAGAAACGTTTTCTACACCACCACAAGCTTGCCTCGAAGACTATAAAAGGCACTGCAGATCGCCCGTATTCAACTATACGATACACGATTGCCCTTACCCAAAAATATAAAAGGAGAAACTCCATAAAGATTCGCAAATTTTTAATAAAGGAGGTCATAGACTCTATATGTCTTTGTCCTACAAGCTTTCTTTTGCTTTCGCCTAACATTTTTAAATACTACCAAGTTTTGAAGCGATCCCAGGCAGCACGGCTTAGCTATGCAGGAGGTGTTGTCCAAGCTTTATCCAGCCGTGACACTACGCAGCGTGGTGCACGTGTAGGTTCACGCTACTCTTGAGCTTGGGGCGATATATTTTCACCCACTCGTGTGCCGGACGAAGAAATATCTGCAAGTGTCCTACTCCTTGGATATGAAGGTAACGCTTATTTCTATATACACAGGGCGCACAGGGCTCAAATCTCATCAGAACGGAGCCCCAGCCATTCGAGCAAGATGCGGAAGTTTTAACACTGACCTTCATCGAAATAAAAAAAAAAATGTAAAATTGAAAAACTGCTTACGTGTATGAGAGGACGTTGTCCGTGAGAACCAGCAGACAAATGTCGAAAGTAATCCCTGGAGAAGGGGAACAAGAGGGACAAAGGACAAACACAAATCTCCAAACACAGCTAGGTGACTGGTGAGCGACCGAAAAAATCCGCCTGGTCCGGGTATCGAACCCGGGACCTCTCCATTACAAGTGGAGCGCTCTACCAACTGAGCTAACCAGGGGTTAGACGTCAGTAGAGCAAACGGGTTTTATCAGCTGCCACCAGTCGAACACCAACAAGGGTGAAAGACAAATGTCGTTGTTTGTGACCACATCACACAGATGGCGCTACTTGCAATCGAGCTTCCCGCGCTCCCTGACTTCTCTAATTTCCTATAATACTTGAGAAAAGCATCGTATCCTTTTCCCAACCGTAAAAATTGTTAATAGAAGAAAAAAAAATCTAAAATTGTAATCACGTGTTATTTTTTTGTGAAAAGGCATGCCGAATTGCCGATAAATACCGAGGAAGACGTCGTCTGCTTCTGTCTTCACGAACGCCGAGAGTCATCTACGTGCACCTGCATTTATTATTATTCTTTTTATTTTATTACCAACAGGTGTCCCTTATGCGAATGTTCACGCGAAAACAACCCAAGCAGCACAGAGTTGGCCAGTCATCGGCCAATGACTGGCAATGGTCCTTGGCTAACTGGCCAGACAGTGGCCAGAGACTGGCCGGTGACTGGCCTTTATCTAGCCATTGGCCCATGGCCACTGGCCATCAGACATCGGCCAAGCATTGGCCAATGAATGGCCACTCTCTGGCCACTGGCCAAAAGACCATCACCAGACATTGGCCATTGCTTGGTCAAGATCCTTGCTGCTTGGGAATGGAGTCAGGTCGTACTGTAGTACGCGGAACTAGGAGGCTTTAAAAAGGTCAAGCGCCATTTCTTCGAGTTCGACCTGCGGCCTCCTTCAAAGTCGGTGATCTGAACCTTGGCCCGGAGTTTTGCAGAAGAAAGTAGTGTCAAGAACAAAACGCACGTCTTCCACGTTTTTTCTCAAAAGGAATAGCTCCCCTTCGCCATCGTCGGTGCCTTCGAGTCAGATCCCCATTTGTATTGGCGAAGAGCCGCGCGTTTGTTTGGTGTATCCGAGCAA